GCCTGTGAGCATCCGACGTGCTCCATGCTTTCGGGACTTATGGAAATAAAACCAGAAAGGACACCTCCCCGAGAGACTGCCTCGGGTCACCGGACACAGCAGGGTGCCTGAGGCCCCCGTGCCACCTCCAACGCGGAGAGGCGCCGCCTTCCACCCGCAAGCTGCCAGGACTTACTGGGTCAGGTCTTGGCCACACTCGGCACACAAGCCTTTCATGACAACCGGGTGGCTACAGCCTTCCAACCGCACCAGGACGGCCCTAGAAACAGAGGCGAAGACGGTCCCACGTCAGGAAGGGGAGAAGCACAATCCCCTGGTTGACCACACGCCCCGAGGGTGTACAGCCCCCGGGGTTCAGTACCGATCTTCCCAGCGACCCCCACCTGACCCGGCGCGCCTCACCCCGTGGCGGGGCTCTGCTTCCGGGGCGGGAAAGGAGGGCTTCTCGCCCACGGGTCCCCACGGGGCAACCCAGAACGACCACGCACGACAGACGAAAAACTAGGCACGTCCTGTCGGGAGAACGGACTTGGGACGACGTGAAAGCCTAGGGTATGTGAAATATTGACACTCTCAGGCTTCTGAGAAACCATTTAAAACACGGAAACCTACGCTAACGTGGCAAGGCGCAACTTGCTAGAATACCAACAAATAACTAACGGTGTCGTCTCCCAAATACTGTTCCCAGTCTACAGAGCGGCTCTGATTCAGTGCAAGTTTTCTGACGGAACTCCTGTAGTATTCCCAGTTTTCACCCCACGCGACGATTTCCACACAAACCCAAAGGCTGCGTGGTCAGAGCTCTGGAGGCCCTGTAACTCGGGGCCGTGGGAGTCTCCTGCCCCTTACCTAGACCCGGGGGCACCCAGGCGGCGGTCAGGCCAGCATCTGGGACGCGGGGCCTTCCTGGGTGCTTCCTCACAAAGCAAGGCCGCACGGATGGCCACCCAGACGGCCCCAGAGCTTCCGGACCCAACGGCCTCCACGGGCGCACGGCTGCCAGGGACGGCACCCCCCTTCCACACAGGGCCTCCTTCTTCCCCTCCCGCCCGACTCTGCCGCTCACGACCGGGTACGTGGCGCCCCGACGCCCCTGTGTGTCCGCAGCCCGGCAGCCGGCTCGACCGTAAACCAAGCGCGGGGCAGGGCCACGCTCTGCCGCCTGCCTCTTCCCTCTCCGTGGGTGCGCGCTCCTGCCTTCAGCACCATCGCCACCTCTACCTAGAACCCGCCGTCTCCCCAGTCCTCCGCCAACCGGCCCAGAGATGTCTTCGGGCTCTATATTCCTGCCGGCAGGCCTCGGGACCCCCCCCCCCCACCCCCGCCCCGCTCGCTGCCCACCTTCTCTGGGTGCCCTGTGCTGTCTCTTCAGCCTTCTACCACCGGGCCCTGTGCTGCTGGCGTCCGGAGCAGGCGCTCGGGTCTGGCCTTCCCCACCTGCCCGGCCCTGCAGCACCTCGTCCCACCAAACCCGGTCCCGACTCACGTCCCTGCAGAAGAACCCTTCCTTCATCGTCCAGACCCCACCCCACCCCCACCAAGCGGCTGCCACGGTCCGGGCCTCTCGTACCCCAGCCCTCACGGCGGGCACCCCCGAATCAGCCCTCCCTCGGACAGCCGGCTCGGCTCCTGCCACACGAGGAACACTCCCTCCCACGGAGCTGCCCACCGGGTGGCCCACCTTGCGGACGACCCGCTGTTCAGACTCCGTCCTGCTGGGCCCCCTCCTTGCCTGTCCTGCTCTCCCAAGTGCAGGCGGGGAAGTAAGAGGTCCAGAAAGGCGACACGTCTGGGAGGACATGGGCAGAGCTGGCAAGGGGACGGCCGTGCACCTTCCCAAAAGTCAAAGGTGTAGGTCAACTGTTGGCTAATAGGGTTTTCCGGGGGGTCTGTCGGGCCTTCTGGACCCTGGCAAAAAGCTGCTGGTTGCCCCCTGGAATGCTAGGGGTAGGTTTTAAAAATGCTGATATTGCCTGTGTTTTAATTACAGGTTCTGGGGACCTATAGTCGCGTAAGAAGGCGCAGGCCACCCAGGCACCAGGAGCAGAAGGACTCCAGTCTCGGGTGCGGTGTGACCTGCTGGCCAGGCCTCCTTTGTGGACACGGCAGACACGCATGACATGAAAAAGCCAGTCTGCACTAACCCACTTCACCCGTTTCTCTATGCAAACTCATGGCTTGGGGAGTATTTTTTTCATGAATCCCCAAAAACGGGAAAGGAAGATTCCACCAACCTCTCCTAAAACATTAACCCGAAGACACATTTGGTGTCCGGCTCGAGCAATAAACAGGTCGAAACACTTTGTGAGGTATGTGTTTCCAGTTGGTAGTCAGCCTTTGCGTTTTCTTAACAGCGGTTTTTGAAGATCAGGTTTTAAATTTTAACCCAGTCCAATTTATCAGATATTTTGCGTCCTTAAGAAATCCTGGTCTTGCCCAGGTCACTGACATTCAAGGGGAGTCCTGAATGGGCAGCTAATTCTAGAGGATTGATTCTCCTCCAGTAGAAGGAAGCTTCTAGGACAGCCCCTCTTCCAGGACAAGGTGACAGGAGGGTCATGACAAACCGAGAGGAAGCAGGTGTGGGATGGAGAGGGGAGCCAAGGCGAAGCCACACAGGTGAGGCACAGCTGGCTTCAGATCGCCCAAGCTAAGAGCACGTGGAAAGTGGCAGACTCGAGACCAACTGTTCAAGGGTCCAGAGCCCTGAACGCAGCAGGGAGGACCCACAGGTGGCGCCGCGAAGGTGCCGGGAGCGGGGCGGGCAAACGAGCTCTAAGTGCACCAGTGCAGGCAGGAGATGCCAGAAGTGAGAGCCGAGGGAGCCAGGAGCGCCGTGGACACTCGCAGATGTTCTTGGAGTAAGCCTGCCAGGGACCAGGCACGAAAAGGACAAGTCTGCCTGGAAAACCGAGCGAGGGAGGCACAGGCACCACCAGCTGCCCACACAGGTGGACGTGTGCCTGGACGTGGACAGGACCACGAATACAGGTCTCGTGGGCTGCTTATCCCAGGCTAGGGCTTAACCGCTGCCAATAAAACAGATGGCAGGCCTTTGGGGAACCCCAACAATTAAGGGACAGGCGGAAAAAAGAATGCCAATCGAAAAGCAAAATCATCATTGTTTCTCGGCCTTTTGGCTAAGGTCAAGTGTAGCAGAAAACAAAATCAGTGCTCGCAAAGGCTGAGGAGCCGGGTCCACAGCAGACACCAGGGAGGGAACATTCCGGGAAAGGAGTATCAGTGTCAAATACCCCGAAGAGACACCGGACAGCATCAAGACACACACCAGGACGAAGACGTTCACATCGTGACTGTGGGTGGTGCTTTCCAAGGCACACACGTTTGTCAGAACTCGCCAAACCATGCAGTTAAAATGCATATCTGGTACCGGCAGACCACCAACTAACGAGGACACGGCCACCAAACTTGGGGATTTAGGGCTGCTGGTGGCCTTTCCAGAGGACCCTGTGGCAGAGCACCGCAGCGAGGCAGAGAGGAGCACGTGACTAGTCCCCGGGCACCTGCACTGCGGCCCGGCCCTGTGCCCCCAGCACCATCCGGTCACCGGGGGGCTTTGCACGTCACCTGCGCAGAGCAACCCAGGCTAAGGGAGGCGTGCCATCCAGTGTGACAGCCAGCGTCACGGCAGCCGGCCTTCCTGTCACCCCGCAGATCCCTAGGACCTCGCCATGCCACTCCATGGCCACTCAGGTCCCATGTGCTCCACCAGTGGTGTGCCCCCCGAGTGCTGCCGGAGGTCCCCCCGACACGGGGGCTCCCTCGGCTTAGACCAGGCTGCCACTTGCCACCTCTGCCTCTTCTTTCTATCTGAACCCATATCCAGAGCCACACCTCCTCCCGGAAGTCCTCTCAGCTCCCACCGCACTGCGTGAAGCACATATGCGCTCCGCCAGGCCATCCCGTGAAGGCCCAGGAGACACAGAGTCCTTGCTCTGTCAACTTGTTTCCAAGTCCCAGGCAAAGCCTAGCTGTCAGCAGGCAACCGGGAGGCAGGTGGGGACGAAGGGGCACAGGGGTGGGGGCACACGCTCTAACCACTCCACACGCCCTTGGCAACGTGGCCTGAACGTGTACCTTTCTCTACAAAGTCTTCTCTCTACAGATGACATTAAAAGTCATGTAACTTTCTGTGCTGCAAGGAGCTTTGCCTGTCTTATTCCACAGAGCAGATCAGGGCTCAGTCACCTGCTGTGTTTGCTCCCCACGGGAAACTGGGCCTGGAGACGCCTCCAGCTGTCACAACCTGGGGGCAGCTACTGGCATCGACAGGGAGGGGCCTAGTGGGCACAGGATACGCCCTTGCAAACCCCAGGGCAGATGATAAGCACACGGGGTGTCAGCTTAGAAGCCCTTCCTGGTGGACTATCCAAGGCCACGTGCCTCAGCAGCATCCATCCACCCCCAAGAAGAAGGCAGTCGGTGACAGCCAGGAAGCAGGTGCAGGGGGCCCTGCTCTCAAAGGCACTTGGGACGACTCGAATGACCCCAAACACCTGAAAAGAATACTTAACGTTGAACAACGACTGGCACACGAAACGGACACCACACAAAGCTTCTATGAGGACCCCCTCTGTGGCGACACTACACGTCGTCATCACGTGACACGTGTAAGAGCTACATGAATGACTCACAAATCAACCTAACCCCCCCACAAGATGCCTTCGTTCCAAAACTCGACACCTCTCTCTGATGTAAAAGAGTCACCCATAGCGTTCAAAGCTCAAAGCTCCCTATAGTGAATACGAACAGAGAATTTTCCTATTTACTAAATTTAGACACGAGGTCTCCACCTAAATTCACCCTGGCAATGTCTGTCACGTTACACCTGACACAGACGTGGGATCAGCACAGGCGGGTGAGTCCACACAGCAGCGGGAGGAGGTATACCATCATCTGAGGCAAAACAAAACGTCCCTCAATCTTCTCAGACTACCCAAGTCAGAAAACACTAACGTGCCGCATCTAGCAAAGAGGCCCCCAAGCCAAGCAACGTGACAGTAGAAACCCACCACTTGTAAATCCATACAGGGTGCCGAGGCCACACCTGCCAGGCGAAGGGGGGGGAAGTGATTAAAAACACAATACAATACGGTCTCCACACACAAGGGAGGAGCCACGTGTCTTCGCAAAGACGTTTCCGGCAAACGTTGACCAAGGATAAGGTAAAAAGATGCCGTGTGTGGCCGCCGAGCCACCCCAGCTGGTGGTGTGCCCCTCAAGACCAGCTTCTGGAGT